GAGGCCAGTGAGGTAGACCGGTAGATTGATTACCGGCGCCGTCACGTGTACTGTACTATTACAACCGAGTGTTCAGGTCATAGGTCACAGGGACCCATGAACTGAACACTGGAGAATCCGAGGTACGCAATATCCATTACCGTGATTTGTGTGGGAGACTGATGGCAGTGATACAGACGATTTTATCCTATTTGACGCGCATCTTTTTGCACGATTCGCCCTTAGCTGCAATCACACGCTTCCATGGTCCTCATGGAATCCTCGCAACACTTGTGGGCCTCACCAGTAATGTGGCCAAGCCATTTGCACTCGACATCAGCAGTGAAGCTGGTGATGCAGACTCCGAGCTTATTGACACGAAAAACCCTGCAGATTGGGGTTAGCCAGCTTACTGGCCACCAGATTTTACCGCCGAGCTACTGCCCGTACCGGTCTACCGGTCTAGGGCGGTAATCGGCGGTAAATCCTTCACGAAAAGATGCGCTACGAGGCACATGGTCTGATTGAATAACCATATTCATAGACCTATGAAATATGTATAAGCTACGTCGCCCTTGTTGATCCGTAACACCCACCTCGATTACCTTCAAGCGGACCACCGCTGAAGCTCGTGGAGGTCAGGAACTGAATGGCAACCCAAAATACGCACCTCAGTTACCACCGCCATCACGCGGTTCTCCCCCCGCGGGGTACCTACTGGGTACCCTCAGACGTCTTGCTGAGGGTACCCAGTAGGTACCCCCTGGCGGGGGGTGGGGGGGCCATTTAGTCGATTTAGTAGCGGGGGCATATGCGGGGGTCAGGAGGAGGGGGGGTGTATGTAGCATGTGACTTGTCCATAAGAGCGGGTAGCTGGGCGGGAAAAAAAAATCCAATCACATGACGCGCTGCATGGGCGGGATGGCGGGATAAAAAAATCACGTGATGCGCTGCACAAAATATTACCAAAATGCTGGCAGGGGTTGGCGGCATCATTGGCGGGGTCACTACCACCCCCCCGCACACCATGGCGGGCAGTGGGCGCATTATCACGTGACTTTTTGGGCGCCTTTTTTGCAGCATTTGGCATGATTTTGGAAATGCTGCTTGATACATTGCATGCTGTGGCAGACAATGGGCGCAAAATCACGTGATTTTCCGCCAAAAAAATGGAAGACTCCCCAAATCATCCCAGTATAATTTCCATAGGTAAATAGGCTAGTTAAACATGAACTTGAGCTTAGAAAAACCAAAATGCACCCTGCACAATGGGATTGGTGACACACTTGATCCCATCATTTGGCAGGGCCTGCCGCAGGGGCTGCTGCGGGGGGTGCCGCGGGGGGTGCCGCAGGGGGTGCTGCAGGGGGTGCCACGGGGGGTGCCGCGGGGGGTGCTGCAGGGGCTGCCCCAGGGTTGGTCTGTTATAATCCATTTTTGTTCATTGAAGATCTTGTAGAGGTGAGCAGGGCAACAGGCCAACTGGGAATTTATAGGAAGACATTGAAATTGATGCAGGGGTCAGATGCGGGGCCCACTGCAAGGTCTACTGCAGGGGCAGGGGTGCATTATATCAAATTTTGATGTATCTATTCTGGCCATGGCCATAGAATGTCACATAATTATCCTTCAATTTGGGAGGGGTTTCTTGGTATGGTCTGCAGCTAAAGATATTTGATTCCCTTGGCTTTAGCAGAGCCTGGGATATTGAAAACATGCAATAGCACCTGTATAATCTGTCTATGTAGGGTCAAATACAAGTTATGATTTGTTCATGTGTTGACCGGCAGGGTGGGTAGGTTGGCTGCACTGGGTCCACTGTCATCTCATTGATTTTTTGGTGCGCTCATTCTACATACATGGCTATTAGTAAATTGTTCACACTGTTAGCACAGTGTAATCTTACCCTGTGGCACATTGTACCACATGTCAAGTACACATTGAATGTCTCACTTCCTGACTGGGACTCATTGAAAATCAGAAGTTCTGTGATGCTTTGCAAATGATTTTCTCAAGCTGCAACATGAACAGATGGAACATAGCGGATTTGACATGCCCTCAATTCATTCCTGGGTCGTATATAAGAGGATGAACTAACTCACTAATAAGTTGTCTCACAATAGCCAGAGATTGAGCATGAATTCAGATTTCATATACAAAATTCTTTCCACTTAGAGCTTGGATACTCGCAAGACAAACTGCAGAAACATACATGATTGCTTTTGCTACTGGGACTGTATACGTTCTTGCCATAACTCACTGCCTGCAACTCTACCTGCACCCCCACTGGCACCCCTGCGGGCACCCCCCGCCAAACTGGCACCCCCCACTGCACCCCCGCATGCACCCCCGCATGCACCCCCGCCAGGCTGACACCCCCTGCCACACCCCCCGCTGCACCGGTGCCTTGCCCCTGCCATCTTCTCATATGTAAGATTACATAATCTGACAGCTCAGAACACGTCAAGTCACCAGCCAATCAGAACCTGTATAAACGTTGTACCTAACTGTTTCCTGCTCTTCTGACACTGTTTCTACAGTTATGCAGCTGAAAACCATTGGAATAAGGTCTCCCTATGCTGTTCTTGTTGAATATGTAGGTATCTCATATCGTTTGTCCATCCAAAATTCGAAACATGAAAACAGTTCACAGTTGCTCAAGGTTCCTACATAGATAATGGTTCAACATAGTTCACTTTGGGTATTGCAAAAAATATATTTTCTACAAATGAACAACTCAATACAGCTGAATGATATACCCCTTGGCAGTGTCTGAAACAAATTCTGAGAGCCCTGGACCCTGGAACCATTGGAAACTTGAAATGGGTCCGAAAAATAGGGTCTTGATAAACATGAGATAGGGGCCAGTTTGAAAAGATGTAGGCCACTGGTCATGTTCAATGTGGTATTTGACAATGTTTCGGTGCCCTACCCCTCACCAAATGGCCTCCTTTCCCACCAAAAAGTGCACATACACACTCAAGCTTATAAAATCAATTGTCGGCCAGAAACAAGAGCAGGCAAGTTGTGTCACTGGAATTGGGTAAAGGTAACCTGGAAGTCACTTGGGTTGCAGTACAGAAGCTTTGGAAAGTGATCCTGTAGTTGATCCACATTGGGTAGGCTGGCAGAGGCTTGGGCACCCCCCGCGGCACCCCCCGCGGCAGCCCCCACCATCAACCCTGCCCCAGCCCCTGCAAGGATTGGATGGACAAAAGTGCTGCTTAATCCATTGTTAGTGTTCACAGTATTATCACATCCATTAAAGTGTCTAAATGGTGTGTAGACAAGGAATATGAAATCCATCAATCAACAATCCTAACACCTGTATCAGATATCCTGAAAATGGAGAGGAAGATTTGGGAGCAGACAGACTATCTGAAGCAAACAGACAGAGACAAGGAGCAGTAGCTATTCCTGGTGATCAATTTGGCTGCACGTAGAAGACTCCCTTGGGGGATTTGCCAAACAAATCAAGTTGCGCATTTTTCAAACATTAAATTCGACCTAATAGCTTTAGCAGACCATGCCCAAATGTACCAAGTTATAACTTGTATTTGACCCTACATAGACAGATTATACAGGTGCTATTGCATGTTTTCAATATCCCAGGCTCTGCTAAAGCCAAGGGAATCAAATATCTTTAGCTGCAGACCATACCAAGAAACCCCTCCCAAATTGAAGGATAATTATGTGACATTCTATGGCCATGGCCAGAATAGATACATCAAAATTTGATATAATGCACCCCTGCCCCTGCAGTAGACCTTGCAGTGGGCCCCGCATCTGACCCCTGCATCAATTTCAATGTCTTCCTATAAATTCCCAGTTGGCCTGTTGCCCTGCTCACCTCTACAAGATCTTCAATGAACAAAAATGGATTATAACAGACCAACCCTGGGGCAGCCCCTGCAGCACCCCCCGCGGCACCCCCCGTGGCACCCCCTGCAGCACCCCCTGCGGCACCCCCCGCGGCACCCCCCGCAGCAGCCCCTGCGGCAGGCCCTGCCAAATGATGGGATCAAGTGTGTCACCAATCCCATTGTGCAGGGTGCATTTTGGTTTTTCTAAGCTCAAGTTCATGTTTAACTAGCCTATTTACCTATGGAAATTATACTGGGATGATTTGGGGAGTCTTCCATTTTTTTGGCGGAAAATCACGTGATTTTGCGCCCATTGTCTGCCACAGCATGCAATGTATCAAGCAGCATTTCCAAAATCATGCCAAATGCTGCAAAAAAGGCGCCCAAAAAGTCACGTGATAATGCGCCCACTGCCCGCCATGGTGTGCGGGGGGGTGGTAGTGACCCCGCCAATGATGCCGCCAACCCCTGCCAGCATTTTGGTAATATTTTGTGCAGCGCATCACGTGATTTTTTTATCCCGCCATCCCGCCCATGCAGCGCGTCATGTGATTGGATTTTTTTTTCCCGCCCAGCTACCCGCTCTTATGGACAAGTCACATGCTACATACACCCCCCCTCCTCCTGACCCCCGCATATGCCCCCGCTACTAAATCGACTAAATGGCCCCCCCACCCCCCGCCAGGGGGTACCTACTGGGTACCCTCAGCAAGACGTCTGAGGGTACCCAGTAGGTACCCCGCGGGGGGAGAACCGCGTGATGGCGGTGGTAACTGAGGTGAAAATACGGCCCATAAGCCAGGGACATTACCTAAAACTGCACCGAGAGCGTCCACTACCGACACAACGTCTCAAAGGAGGAGCAGCGACCTGAGTCACGGAACGGGTAAAATCACAACGTCCAGACGAGCAAGATCGTACACCCCATTCTCGTCACGGCCACAGACACCTATAAGCAGGAAGGGTAGGTCAGAAGCCCCAGACTCAATAACTATCGCATGTTCCAAGAACCAACGACTTCCTGGTGCCCAGAGCGGGAGAAGCACGGGTATATATGCTCATGCCGCTCTTCAAATGCATGACCAACCCGCGTGTCACCACCGCCCACCGCTGGAATGTGGTCGACGTCACGGGGCCTATCCTGCTCCACCCCGCGCAATGTTGAGCACCCTGGCTGGCAATTCCATTCTCTCCGCAGACGACACAAGCGCTTGTGAAGGAGACCACCGCCGGGCGCAAGAACACGTCCCCACAGAACATCTACGGGACGTCGCAACTGTACTCGTGCGGCGCCCTGCGCGTCGCGTGCGTCGGCCTGCAGTGTGTCGGGTTCAACAAGCCTCTGTACCACGCCACTCTTGACCAGGCTGCCAAGTGTGCGTTGGTAGCTGGCAAGTGGAAGAGTGCGGCGACGGCGGGGATGGTTTCCGGTGCCGCCACAGGGGCTAGCTTGAATGGGGCCCAATTCCTGAGCGAGTGGGACAATACCTCGGGCACAGAACCCAAAGTGGAGAAGGTATACCAGATCTCGATCCCCCGCGGGCCCCCTCCTGTTCCGAATCGATCATTCTTTGACCCCACATCTCTCACAAACGCAGCCGCTCCCAGCACCCGACGACCGAAATCCGCCTCTTCCACAGCTTGCAGTGCATCTGCGAGCTCGGCACCAAAGGGCCCTGCCCTCTGCAGTTTCCGCTCGTGCGGCATCTGTAGCATCGTCAAGTCGTCCTTCCACGAGTTTACGTTCGGCAAAAAGGCTAACTGCGGCCGGTGCAGGCACTGTCCTCCATTCCGTGCGGATTTTTATATGATGTGCGGGAAATGACTAGGTGCGGCGACGGGGTATATGCGTTCCGGAACCCGAGCCTCGCAGATGGGCACTCGACGTCCGCGACGAGCACGCCGTATCGAGTGATGATTGCGTGCGACGCAGCTGTGGCTTCGAATGCGGAGGTACGTTGTCCTCACCCCGATTGCGGTGATCGAGATGGTAACCCTCACTGGCCTCATAGACGTCGAGATGATGGCGGATGATGCCATTTGATGGGTTCTGAGAGTTCTGAGACCATGTCGCATTGTGAGCTCTTTGGTTTTGAATTAAGTATAAAGTCTCGCCCAAAATACGAAAAGTCTGATTGTTGAATGAATGAGCCACGGCGCATGAACTAATTGTGTCGGCACTGATCCATCCAATCCATTCGGGCTGCTCCACGCTAGCGATTTCCGATCAAATGTCATCGCTCACAGTGTCCGTTTGCCGACCGCTTCCAGTGAGCAATTTTAAGTTCCTCGGTATCTTGATATCAGCCTGGGCGGTGTTCCGGATATAATGGCTCCCTATGCTCATCCAGTATCTGACACAACTTGGCACTTCAAAGACAAAAAGCTTATGGAATCGTCGATACGAGACGGCTAAATGAAGACAGCAGCATTCCAGAGTATATGAACTGAGCTTGACCCCCACATTTTCAACATCTTCCTCCCTCTTGTCTAACATACAGCAAGCAAGATGGTCCTCAAGCTCTACGGTCACACGCAGTCAATCTGCACTCGCCGTGTCGCTCTCATTGCTAAAGAGCTCAACATCGACTACCAGCTCGTCCCTGTCGATATCACGACCGGCGAGCAGAAGTCTCCCGAACATCTCGCTCGCCACCCATTTGGCCTCGTCCCCACTATTGATGTGCGTGTTCCTCGCGTCAGTTACCTCGCGTCGGTTACGCGACGCGCCCGTGGCTAAAATCATCTCTTGCATCCAGGATGACGGTTTCACCCTGTTCGAAAGTCGGGCGATCGTTCGCTACCTCGTCGCCAAGTACGGGAAGGGCAGCACCCTGATCCCGGACACCAAGGACATCCAAGCGACGGCCAAGTTCGAGCAGGCAATGAGCATCGAGAACAACCACTTCGACTCTCTTGCCCAGACTATCATGGTCCAGAAGCTGTACAATCCGTGTGTCTCATCCGCGCCGCTTAGTTTGAGGCGTTGCTGAAGTCGCGTAATCTAGGATCCGTGGCTTGAAGTCAGACGAGACGCAACTCAGCGCGTCTATCAACAGCTTGAATTCCAAGCTGGATGTCTATGAGAAGATTCTGTCCTCGCAGAAATATCTTGCTGGAAGTGTCAGTGCTCTGTTTCGTTCAATTACCATCAGATACTCACTTATGCGCAGACGCTGACCATTTCCGACCTCATCCATCTCCCTTGGCTCTATGGCCTCGGCCATGTGCGTTTAATTGGCTGCTTCATTCTGGTTTCAATATTGATTCGTCAACTAGGCTCAATTTGATGCGTTCACCGGTCGCCCCAGTGTGGCTCGTTGGTACGAGGAGATCAGCACTCGTGAAAGCTGGAAATCGGTCAAAGATGGAGCTTGAGCACCCTTAGCTTGAGATCCACTAGATAACTACACATGGAATGCAAATGAACAGCCTGAGAACGCTCAGAGTTGGATTATCGATCAGATTCTGAATCATAATGCATCAATGAATAGATTGGTGCTATGCACTGGATCCAGACATGCACGAGACAAACAGACACCAACAGCGTGTTACTGCAATTCTTGAAATTGCACTCTGATGCCAATATTAACACTGTGACGTCCAAAATCGCCTTGGGAGCATTGGAATCACACTGTGATGTATGGAGGCTCGGAAGGCCGAAGCCTGCTCATAGACAAGACAGGTGACAGTGATGGTTGATGGGGGACCCCATAAACTTGGGTCACGCCCTGGCTTTGTATGTGATCAGTGGTGTGGCACTGTTGCATGATGGTGCACAGCATTGCACAGGCATGTCAGTAGCTATCAGAGATAGCCTCGGATGACGGGCACAAGAGTCGAGAATAAGTCACACAGCAATATGATTACAGCAACAGAGATTGTATGAGAGCTCTACCATGGGTATCACATGAGTGGAATACATCACAGTAACGGCTTTAATCCAAAGAATTGACAATATACTGAGCACTGTGACAATCAACAAGAAATAATGTCGAAGAGAAAAGTGAATTCAAAGACTGGAGAATACAACCAAGTAGCTACAGTATTTATACCCAAATCCAGTCTGAGTCATAAGGCTATGTACCGCTGAAATGCTGAGGGCGCGCTCACAGGTGAATCTACTATGAAAGTAAACCCAAATATAAACACGTTCACACTCCTCATAATCAGCTTCTCAGTGTGTGAAAGATGTGAGGGCTTTGGGGTGGACAGAGCACCAGTATCCCAACTCTCAATAGACGCAGATCAATAGTTGCGGAAGACGAAGTCGACGACAAGAATTTATATATAGTAAACAGTGGTGTCTCAACCAATATCTTCTATACAAACACAACCAACACTAATCCAATCACAACCAACAATGTAACAAGTCAGAGCTTAATACGGAGTATTAAGATCCCTTGTAGCGACAGCGTCCAGATGGCGATGCAAAGCCCAAATATCAAGTCGACACACTGCCAACCGATACAACCAATATACTGAGTCGACGCACTGCCAACTAGTAGAACCAAAATGTCAAGTCGACGCACTGCCAACTGACACAACCAAAAGTACTGAGTCGACGCACTGCCAACTAGTAAACCAAAATGCCGCATCGACGCACTGCCAACTAACAGCCAATATCCAATGTCCAAAACCCGAGCACAACTTGTTGACGCACTGCCAAGCAAGAAGTGTGGAACCAAAGTTCTCAAGTCGACGCACTGCCAACTGACCAAAACAACCCGAGCACAACTAGTTGACGCACTGCCAAGCTAGAGGTGTGGAAACAATCTCAACGATGCCCAAAGGCAACAACACTAAATGCCGTGACTAAACCAGATGCGGCAAATCCGACTTTCTGGTATCTCAACTCAAACTCAAATCACGGTAGCTACAAGTGCTCAGGGAGCAACTCGTCGCGACCAGGCAGGGGTGGCAGAACTTCTTAGGTTGGAATCACGCGGCACGCAAATTGTACAAAACAATCTGAAATGAAAGTGATTCACAGTCCGGGGGAAAGCTTTCTAATACAAAGAAACAATGTGCTACTTATCCTGTCTGCAACGATGCTTAGTAAAGTCCTGTACAACTGCATAGTAGCTACGCTATCTAAGATCGGTTGCCTTTTAGAGTAATGAAAAGTTGGACGATCGGACAGGTCCTGAATGATCAGGACCCCGCCCCATGGTCCATATGATACTTTTGATGTGGGTCAACCCACCGCGTCATACTTTGGAATACGACGTGCTGGATTGGCCAACGGGTATGTCTTGGCGAGTGAGTCCAACGTGGGTGCCCCAAGAAGCCGTATGGTCCTAGGCACGCCAGTCGTTCCTCGCATGGTTCGGTTCACGGATCTAGCCGGGTCGATTTTAGCGTGTTTGGGTATGGGCCCGACCCGCCGTGACACTTGGAAGTGTCACCGCAACGCGTCCACAATGTCCCGTGATCGAATGGATCCTGACATGTGACAAGTCGTCGCCGTGGCATGATCTGAGGAAACGTCCAACCCAAAACCAGGAGTTGCCGCGACAAGATTGGTTGAATCTCGTAACGCCAAGTCCTGTCCAGTAGTAGTTGTATTATTGAGAACGTCGCACATTGCTCAGCCCTTCAGCCCAAGTTCCCATCTGCAGAGGATGACCCTTTTGAGAAGTCACCGCAACAAAGATCCCTTTTTGGGGAATTGTCGCGGTCCAAGCGTTCGTCACTAATAGCCCTGAGCCTGGTATGGACTCATAAGACCAGTTCCACAGTAGTGGTCTGACTGCCTTGCTATTGTCGACACTATCCACAGTCGTCGACTGGGCAGTAGACCCTTAAGCCCTACTGAGCGCAACACTGTCAACCGCAACACGATACACTGAGTGGTTCAAGAGTAAACTCTGTAAAAAGCGCAAAAATACGCCCTTACAGAGCTGGTGCAGAGCGCGTCTGGTAGCCGGCCTATCAGCGTTTGCCCATCTGTGATTGGGTCATATGCGGTCCCCAGATTCATCTCCACGCCCAACATCTGATTTGTCTCCTTCATGAAACGAGTCCCTGTGTCAGGGGAACCCCTTGCTTTCGTCCGATCATCATGGGATCTCGCATGTGACCGTGCACGCGCCATCTGTCAGGCGTCACATGCTTTGGTCCAGACTTCCCTGCCAAGCGCGTCCACATGACACTCCGGCCCGGACCCCCATTGTTCCAACGGTCCGGCTCCCATTGTTCTCCCCGATCCGGCCCCTCATTGTTCCCTGGCCCCATTGTCTGGCGCTTCCATTGTGCTTGGTCATCCATTGTTCTGTAGGCTATATATAGATGTCCAAGTGTCATTAGCCGGTGCCTCCTAATGCGTGACCCCGATGCGTTAGACGGATTTCATGTGCACTAGGCTTCTGTATATTTACACTACATCTACAGACAATATGCGTCCCTCGCAAGATTGCCCGCTGGGTGTGTCGTGCCTGGCGGGTGACATGAGCGCTGACAATAAGAGACCTCTGTCACGCGGAGCGTCGTCACTGATTGGGTTTCATTGCCCTGATGGTCTTTGCCAAGGCCATCAAACCGGCATGTGGCGCAGCCATCTGATTACTCATTGAGAAGCCCATGATAAGTATTATAGCAGATGTGTGTGTAAGTAACTGATTAGAACTGATTTCTCCCAAGCATACAATACATTTGATTAGTGAGATCTAAATTCTTTATCACATGGCCATGGCCACTGTTGATGCGCCGTCTATGTCAGAAACCCTGATCGTGAAGTCGGCACCTTGGACACCCCACATTTGTACCTCGAGAGGTACCTTTTTGAGGCCCAAAAAAGGTACCTCAGTGGTAGTGGGCGGCCATGGGCTGGGCGGCAGCCGGGCGCCCCCCAATGCTCTGGGGGGCCCCAGCTACATTTTTGTGGGCGTCCTTGGGCGCGCATGTGGGCGGGCCCATGGCTCCTGGGGTCCTTGTAGCGTGCGCAGCGCCAGAAAAATTTCCGTTTTTTGACCTATTTGGGAAGTTAAAGTCAAGTATATATTTGCAATCTATTTGATAATACGGGCGCACAACGTACATAGGAGCTAAATTTATCCTTTGCAGTCTATTCAATAATACAGGTGAGTGTATGCAATAATATTGATTTGACGCACACAAAAATCCTTGTTGCTTTTGTCATGGATATATAAAATCACCATTGAATGTACATAAGGGCTGTTTCAAACACTTGGAAGACACTCCTCTCAAGAATATATGGGGCCGCTTTCTCATGGGCTTATGAGTGACTTCAATCATATGCATCCACAACATTTTATGCGGCAGATATCATCAAATCTGTTTTGATTGAATGTTGATTTCTTCTTATGGACATAAGGTGATTCCCAGCGGACCACCACATGTGACCTGCTCGAAACCCGGGAAAGTGTGGGCCCGCCCATAGAATAACGGGCCCGCCCAAATAGACGTGGGGCGCCCACAGAATTACGGGGCCACCCAAATAAGTATGGGGGCGCCCAGAAAAGTATGGGGCCGCCCACAGACGCCAAGAGAGCTATGGGCCCGCCCGCAGACGCCAAGAGAGCCATGGGCCCGCCTGCAGACGCCAAGAGAACTATGGGCCCACCCACAGATGCCAAGAGAACTATGGGGCCGCCCACCCGTACACGCGTATTAAAGTAATACCAAATGTTCCCGTGTATCAAACCTTGATTGGCGCACTAGGTCACAAACCTCTTTTGCCCACTTGAGATTCTACGCTACATTGATGCACAGCAGGGACCCACAAGAAATTTACATTTGCAAACACGAGTAATTAAAAATGCTCGGGCTGTGCAGCCGTGCAATGAGTGCGTGCCCACCATTTCAGCGATCATTACGGAAGATTGGACTCAGTATTATAGACGGTGCAAAGTAAATACGCTTTTCTCTAGTTGTTGACGACGGCCAGCTGATGGATACTTGTATCATAGGACGACTGGCTGGGCTCTTTGTTCATGACACCGTCTCCCTCCACATTGACGTCAACATCACTGCCAACGAAGCCAATATCCGGAGGTAGCAACCCTTTGGGCAAGTCAAGATCTGTAATGTATGAGAACTCGCAGTAAGTTTCCTGATGTAGGCAGATCAACCCACCAGGGAATTGTTGTACAAGGCGCTCAAGCTTGTCTAACACCTGCCACAGTAGATGAAATTTGACCTTGTCTGAATGCTCCCTAAGCCTTCTGAGCACGTCGATCACTTTGCGGCACTCCGCTTCGTGGTAGTTACGGCGGCAAATCTCTTCCTGAGTACTGTAAGCTGGATCCCGAAAGTCTTGGGGCCCCAGATCTTTGCAAAACGATTCCTTGTACCATAACATCATTAGATCATGGATGGCAATGTGTAGGTCCGCGCGCGAGATGGGTAGGTAGAAT